CAGCCTGGGCAACAAGAGTGAAACTCCATCCCCCCAAAAAAATAAAAATAAAATGGTGAATGAAGAAAGTAAACGTCTATGAAGTATGGAACAATGATGGTGCATTGGAGAAAAATAGTTTCTCCTGCCCCCTTATGTCCCTCCCTTCTTTGGAAGCTGGAAAAGAAGCTGCCAGGGATGAACGCCTTTGCTTCTCCTCATCCTTGGAAACCATTAAAACTGCATCTGAATCTTTGCTGCACTCCTAGAGTATGGACTGGAAAATAGCCCAGAGGTGTCAAAATCCTGACTTTGATTCACAAGCATGCTTGAAAGAAAAGAGAAAGGAAGGAAGGAAGGAAAAGAGAAATTGTAGCTATGACCTAACCATAGCCAAAAAAATCTCTTTGACTTCCAGTGGTTTGGTGTTAATGGAAGCCTTTTATCTTCAGCACTTTGTGCTTGTGCTGCCAAGCGGAGGAAGGGAAAGTGCAGAAAGCTCTGTCTGCATAATCATGTGCTTGCTGGCCCTCCCCAAATCCAGAGCCACATGAAGGCTCACCCTCCTGGCTCTGGGAGCCCTAGGCTAGCTTGAGAAATCAGTGGGAAAATGTTCCTTCAGATGTCAAATCCACCTTCTCTCAGAAAAGGACAGATAAATAAAGCCGTAGGCAAGGACAGGCAGGCCCTTAGGTTGCTTATGCGAGCATTCTAAAAATCTCTTTATCAATGCTTAGCCTAGATTTGGTAGACCAAATGCTAATATGTTTTGCCCTAAAACACAGTTTATAAAATTAAGAGATCCTTTTCCAGGGGACCTCAGCCTCATGGCCTCTGTATCTCTTGTTAGGACCACTTTCTTTTTTTTTTTTGAGACAGAGTTTCGCTCTGTCGCCCAGGCTGGAGTGCAGTGGCGGGATCTCAGCTCACTGCAAGCTCCGCCTCCCGGGTTTATGCCATTCTCCTGCCTCAGCCTCCTGAGTAGCTGGGACTACAGGCGCCCGCCACCTCGCCCAGCTAGTTTTCTGTATTTTTTAGTAGAGACGGGGTTTCACCGTGTTAGCCAGGATGGTCTCGATCTCCTGACCTCGTGATCCACCCATCTTGGCCTCCCAAAGTGCTGGGATTACAGGCTTGAGCCACCGCGCCCGGCCTAGGACCACTTTCAAGGAGGAATAATTTACTCAAAAGTGCATTTTAGGCTGGGCATGATGGCTCATGCCTGTAATCCCAGTACTTTGGGAGGCTGAGGCAGGCAGATCACCTGAGGTCAGGAGTTCGAGACTAGCCTGACCAACACGGAGAAACCCCATCTCTATTTAAAAAAAAGAAAACCAGGCCGGGCACAGTTGCTCATGCCTGTAATACCAGCACTTTGGGAGGATGAGGCAGGCAGATCACAACGTCAGGAGATCGAGACCATCCTGGCTAACACGGTGAAACCCCGTCTCTACTAAAAATACAAAAATTAGCCGGGTGTGGTGGCGGGCGCCTGTAGTCCAGTTACTCGGGAGGCTGAGGCAGGAGAATGGCGTGAACCCAGGAGGCGGAGCTTGCAGTGAGCTGAGATCGCGCCACTGCACTCCAGCCTGGGCGACAGAGTGAGACTCCATCTCAAAAAAATAAAAAAATAAAAAATAAAAATAAAATTTAAAAAAATTAGCTGGATGTGGTGGTGGATGCCTGCAGTCCCAGCTACTCAGGAGGCTGAGGCAGGACAATCACTTGAACCCAGGAGGCAGAGGTTGCACTGAGCTGAGATCATGCCACTGCACACCAGCCTGGGCGACAGAGTGAGACAATCTCAAAAAAAAAAAAAAAAGGCATTTTATCCTGTGGTTCCCTCCAAATAATTACCTTTTCTCCCATTTTCTATAAGAATTATTTAAATAACCTTTTTATTTTGGAATACTAGATTTACAGAAACGATGCAAAGATAGTACAGAAAGTTCCATATACCCCTTGTTCATTTTCTCTTGTTAACACATTACTATGGTACATTTGATTCCATTTAAGAACTGACATTGTTTGTTACTATTAACTAAACTTGGCACTTTGCTCAGATAGTTTTTCCCTAATGACCCTTTTTCTGTTCCAGATTCCATCCAGGATACCACATTACATTTATTCATCATGTCTGGTCAGATACTGTGTAAAATGTCCCTCAAATTTGGTTTGTCTGGTGTTTTCCTCACATGTAGATTGGGATTATGGGTTTTCAGAAAGAATACCTGAGAGCTGAAGCACCCTTTTCATCGTGTCAGGGCAGATGACATACACATGGCATCAATGGTAAAGTTAACCTTCACTGCTTAGTTAAGGCAGAGTTTGCCAGCTTTCTGCATTGTGAAGTTCCTGTTTCTCCCTTTCTGTAATCTATTCTTTGGCAGCAACTCCCACTAAGTCTAGCCTACCTTCAAAAAGGTAGAAAGGGAATTGGGAGGGAATTAAGCTCATTTCCTGGAAAAGGGAGTATTTACAGATGTTATTACTGTTATTATTTTAAAATTCAGACAAGGTCTCATTCTGTCACCCAGGCTGGAGTGCAGTGGCACCAACTGCAACCTCCACCTCCCAGGCTCAAACAGTCCTCCTGCCTCAGCCTCCCAAGTAGCTGGGACTGCAGGCATGCATCACCCTGGCTATTTTTTTGTTTTAAGTAGAGAAGGGGTTTCACCATGTTGTCCAGGCTGATCTCCAACTCCTGAGCTCAAGCGATCCTCCTACCTCAGCCTTCCAAAGTGCCAGGATTACAGGCATGAGCCACCGTGCTCAGCGGGAGTATCTACTTTTTTTTTTTTTTTAAACGGAGTCTCGCTCTGTTACCTAGGCTGGAATGCAATGGTGCGATCGTGGCTCACTGCAACCTCCACCTCCCGGGTTCAAGTGATTCTTCTGTCTCAGCCTCCCGAGTAGCTGGAACTACAGGCATGCACCACCAGGCCTGGCTAATTTTTGTATTTTTAGTAGAGATGGGGTTTCCCCATGTTGACCAGACTGGTCTCGAACTCCTGACCTCAGGTGATCTGCCCACCTCGGCCTCCCAAAGTGCTGGGATTACAGGCATGAACCACTGTGCCCAGCCAGACCTACATATATTTAATGGGATTATTCTGTCTGAAAAATTAGTTTATTCTTCTCGACTAATTTTTATTCATTAATGGCCGGGTGCAGTGGCTCACACCTGTAATGCCAGCACTTTGGGAGGCCAAGGCAGGTGGATGGCTTTTAACTCAGGAGTTTGAGACCAGCCTGGGCAACATGGTGAGACCCCTGCCTCTATTTTAAAAAGTACAAAAATTAGCCAGGCATTGGTGGCTTGCACCTGTAGTCCCAGCTACACAGGAGGCTGGAGAATCCCTTGAGCCCAGGAGGCTGAGGTTGCAGTGAGCTGAGATTGTGCCACCTGGGTGACAGAGTAAGACCCTGTCTCAAAAAATAAAATAAAATAGAATAATAATTTTTATTCATTAATGTATTTATATCAGCCTGAACTCATATTTACAGTAGGCCTGTGGTATCCATGGATGGGTTCTGTACCATAGATTCAACCAACCATGAATCAAAAAAACATTAAAAAAAAAAAACAGAAAATGAAAAATAACAATGTGACATTTAAAACTAATATGCATTTTTGCCGGGCGCGGTAGCTCACGCCGGTAATCCCAGTACTTTGGAAGGTCAAGGCAGGCGGATCACCTGAGGTTGGGAGTTCAAGACAAGCCTGACCAACATGGAGAAACCCCATCTCTACTAAAAATACAAAATTAGCTGGGCGTGGTGGCGCATGCCTCTAATCCAAGCTATGTGAGGCTGAGGCAGGATAATTGCTTGAACCCGGGAGGCGGAGGGTGCAGTGCACCAAGATCGTGCCATTGCACTCCAGCCTGGGCAACAAGAGTGAAACTCCATCTCAAAAATAAATAAATAAATAAAAACGAATATGCATTTTTAAAACAACACAGTATAAATACTATTTACATAGCATTCACATTGTATTCGGTATTATAATTAATATATAGATGATTTAAGGTATAAAGGAGCATGTGCATAGGTTATATGCAAATACTACACTATTTCATTTCAGGGACTTTAGCATCCTTAGATTTGGTATTCCTGGGGGTCCCAGAACCAATCCCCAGTGAATACCAAGGGACAACTATACTCATTTTATACTTTGGTTTATAATCCAATACTATGTTGTTTATTTTGTTATTCATATTGTTCCAATTTTAACCATCAGGAGCTCTTCCAAGTTGGTCCTTTGATGTGCACATCTCTTTGACATGCACACCTTATTATAAAATATTAAAAATATAGAAATGAAAGATAATCACTTATCTTTGGAGGCACTTTATTTTTAATGTTACATACATGGGGATGCACTCAGTGTCTCATGCTTGTAATCCCAGCACTTTGGGTAATCCCAGCACCCGGTTAATTTTGTATTTTTAGTAGAGACGGGATTTCTCCATGTTGGTCAGCCTGGTCTCGAACTCCCGACCTCAGGTGACCTATCCACCTTGACCTCCCAAACTGCTGGGATTATAGGCATGAGCCACCGCGCCCGGCCATATATATATACACACACACACACACACACATATACACATATATACACACACACATGCACACATACATATATATGCATATACACACACACATATATGTATATATAGATATATATATATATTTTTTGGATGGATTCTTGCTCTGTCACCCAGGCTGGAGTGCAGTGGCTCGATCTCCACTCACTGCAACCTCCGCCTCCCAGATTCCAGCAATTCTCTGCCTCAGCCTCCCAAGTAGTTGGGATTACAGGCACCCGCCACCACGCCTCGCTAATTTTTGTATTTTTAGTAGAGATGGGGTTTCACCATGTTGGCCAGGCTGATCTCGAACTCCTGACCTCATGATCCACCCGCCTTGGCCTCCCAAAGTGCTGGGATTGCAGGCGTGAGCCACTGCGCCCGGCCCACTTACCAATATATTGTTAGATCTTTCCCATGTCACTATATACATTTTTTTTTTCAAATGCAAACAGTCTTTATTATGAGAAAGCAGTGTTATCTAGAAAAGTCACACACCAGTTTCTTTCTAATACAATGACAAAGCAGGTTTCTTAAATAATTTATAGAGAGCAGAAATTGCTCTTGAATAGGGCTACCCCTCCCGGCACACCCACAGTGCTCTGCATTGAACATATACAGAGGTACCAGTGAGTCCAGGGTCTTAAGCCTGGAAATATCTCCTATGCCTTCCTCCGAGTCCCTGGTAGGGAAAGCAGGGATGAGAGTGGGACCCCCAAGAGCCTTGGCACTGGAAACACAGCGGGTGAGTGACTCTGCAGATGACTCCCCCAAAACCAGGCACCTGGGTACACAGCTAAGAGCTCTGTAACATCTGATGCTAGCACTTCACGTTATAGATGAGTCAAATACAAGGCTCAAGGTCAAGTGTATGATGAGTTTCTAAGCTCAAGAGTCCCCTGAGAAATTCTCCCCACCTCTGCAAGGTCTTCCCAAGACACTCTTAAGGCTGTGGCAGGCAGTCACTGATGTATCCAGATGTGGCCGGAGCAGGGGAGGCTCTGGACCCCTTGTTAGTCAGGTCCTTGTTAGCAGTGACCCAGGGGTACTGACGACTCCTGGGGGCTTCCTCCAGGAAGCTCATGGGGAAGCACAGACACCTTGGGTATGAAGCCTTGGCGATCAGACAGGGCTTGTTTCCTGCAGGCCACTTCCTCAGCTATGAATGAGAGAGAGGATGTCAGCACCACTCTCTTCCGCCATAATGGCTTCATCTAGCTTTTGGGACAGCTTCTAGAAATGCTGAATTCCTGCCCCCATAGGCTCTAGGTCACTGTCAGACTGGCTGGGAGAGCAAAGGGGCTATGCTGAGGAGTAGGGGCTCCAGAAGGCAGCCTCCCACGTCGACCGCCATAATGGGTAGGCATGGGAGCCTATCTGGGCAGAGAGGTCATGATGCTCCTTTTCCCAGAGGTCTGTGGCTCGTGGGCAGGGGCGTCTCCAGACAGCCGGGTGCTCTTCTGGCTCAGGCTGTGAGTTGGGGATCCACTGCCCTTCTGTGCCCCTCTCTTCCTCCTCCTGGGCTTCACTTGGATCGCCACCAGCCACTTGGTGCCACTTTGGCAGGACTCCTGGATTCTCTGGGACATGGCACCCAAGGCACTCTTAGCTGAGTGAGCTATAGCCTGGAAGCCCTGCTACCCTGGCTCTGGGGTTTCCAGGCATTTCCAGGAAAGGCCTGCGCAGAAGTTGAGGTTGATGGCTCTCAGGGTCAGCCTCCTTTGGAACTGTCTGCGCAGAGACCCCAGGGCCCACGTGGAGTTATCCTGATGGCTGGCTGGCCACAGGCTGCAGCTCCTTGCTGTCCTCCAGCTGCTCCTGGTGCTGGAGAGATCTCCAGTGCATAGAGGTCCCCATTCTCTGCCACCGAGAAGCCATCTGCCTGGCCAAGAGTGTTCTCTGCCCACTAGACCCCAACACGACCAATGCCAGTCACAACCCAAGCACAGCTGCTCCTCAACCACTGCCCACTATATACATTTAATGGATATTTAACTCCCTTTCTACTGTTTTTTTGTGATTATAAACATCCTTGTATATATTTAAATCATTACTTTGTGCCATAGCAACTAAACCAAGCTTGTTTCCAGACTGCAAATTCCAGCTTCCTAAGTCTTTACTGAAATAATTCAGCATGATTTTTAAATGCACTTACAGTGCCGACCTTATAGCCTGCATCATGGTAAAAACCAAAGCAGCTGAAGAATGATTCCTGCTTATGATGTAAAAATGGAGGCAGAAGACATAAATCTAAGGCAATATATAATTTAATATGACAAAATTATGATATAGAGGGTATGTAATTGCTGAAGGAATTCCAAAGAAAGAAAAATAAATTCTGACTTAGCTAATGTTGGTGTCACATAATCAGTTTATATGTGGCAAAGACTGTTGGTGCTCACCAGTGATTGTATTCTTTTCTTCTTCCTGGCCTACAACCAGAGTCCCTCTTCCAGCCTCCAGTGCAGTTAGGTGGGACCATGTGACTGTGCTGGCCCGTGGAATGTGAGCAAGAGTGGTGGGCACCACTTCTAGGTCCATAAAAACCTCTCAAGCACAATCCTCACTCTTTGGCCATCCCTTCTCTTGCTGAATGGAGATGACAAAGAAAGGGACAAAGAAAAGGGTGGAACCACAAGATGGAAAAAGCCTTTGTCCTTGAGTAATCATATGGAGCAAGACCCCTTCCCTTATGCTACCTCCTTCTCCCACCATCCCCTCTCTCTCCCTTCTTACTTCTTTCCCTCTCTCTTCCTTCCACTCCCCATACCCTTCCAGCAACCCACATTGGACTGTGAAAAAGAGAAATACACTTTTATTATGTTAAACTACTGGAATCGCAGGGTTTATTTATTACAGAAGCTGGAATTATTTAACCTATCTAACATACAATGGAATAGACCTATGGGGGGTTTATTTACCTGAAATGCTCTTCTTCTTGAGAACATTTCCCCTTCTTCAAAAATGGAAGTGGGTCTGTATAATGAAGAATTAACTTAACCCTGGCCAGGTGCAATATGGCTCATGCCTATAATCCCAGCACTCTGGGAGACCAAGGCAGGTGGATCACTTGAGGTCAGGAGTTCGAGACCAGCTTGGCAAACATGGAGAACCCCGTCTTTACTAAAAATACAAACAAATTTGCTGGGTGTGGTGGTGCACCCCTGTAATCCCAGCTACTTGGGAGGCTGAGGCAGGAGAATCATTTGAACCAAGGAGGCAGAGGTTGCAGCGACCCAAGATCACACCACTGCACTCCAGCCTGGGCGACAGAGCAAGACTCTAGCACAAAACCACCCAAAGAGAGGCCTGGCCTTTGCCCTCGGCTAGAGGGGAGGTGACCTCCAGGCCCCAGAAATGTCCTTTGTGATAGGAGTGTCTGTTTGCTTGGCGTTCTGGCTAGTGGGCAGTCTAACAATGGGATTTAGGCTCTGGGTCATGCTGTTTCAGTTCTAACCTCTGGAGGAACTGGAGGCTAAAGGTACTAACATGACTCTGGGAGAGAAGTATACTCAAGGGCAGCCACAAAAGCAGTGTGTGATCGAGCCCCAGTAAAAACTCTGCAGACCTCAGACTCAGGCTCCAGTGAACTTCCTTGGTTGGTAATGCATGTGTGTATTGTCACACATCGTGACCAGGAGGAGATAACACTGTCCATGACTCCACAGGCAGAAGATGACCAAAGTACTACACGTGAACCTCTCCTGGACTCTGTGCTATGTGTCTCTTCCTTTGGCTGATTTTAATTTCCATCCTTTCTCTATAATAAACAGTAACTGGGAGTATAACCGTTTTCAGTGACTTCTGTGAGTCTTTCTAGAGAATTGTCAAACCTGGGGTGTTTTGAGGAAACCCCTGAACTTGCAGCTGGTGTCAGAAGTAGGGGTAATCTTGTGGGGACTGTTCCCTCCAACCTCACAGTTTGGCTAACCCTGAGTACAGCCCTATAGTTAAATTTACACTATGTGAACTGTCTGCCTTGGCTGTGGCTAATTGGACTAGATAATGGGTAAACACTCAACTCAAGACAAATCAATAGGCCGGGCGTGGTGGCTCACGCCTGTAATCCCAGCACTTTGGGAGGCTGAGGCGGGCGGATCACGAGGTCAGGAGATTGAGACTATCCTGGCTAACACAGTGAAACCCCGTCTCTACTAAAAATACAAAAACAAAAAAAAAATTAGCTGGGCATAGTGGCCGGTGCCTGTAGTCCCAGCTACTTGGGAGGCTGAGGCAGGAGAATGGCGTGAACCCGGGAGGCAGAGCTTGCAGTGAGCCGAAATCACGCCACTGCACTCCAGCCTGGGCAACAGAGTGAGACTCTGTCTCAAAAAAAAAAAAAAAAAAAAAAAGACGAACCAATAAGCATCTTCTGGACATTTGGACTAAGATCTAATATGTTTCTATTAAGTGCTTGAACCAAAATGTCATGAAACTTAAAATATATCTGTGGCCCTTTCTCACTAAGAGCATAGAGAGGGCTGGGCACGGTTGCTCATGTCTGTAATCCCTGCACTGGGAGGCCAAGGCAGGCAGATCACCTGAGGTCAGGAGTTCAAGAGCAGCCTGGCCAACATGGTGAAATGCCGTCTCTACTAAAAATACAAAAAATTAGCTAGGCATGGTGGCATACACCTGTAATCCCAGCTACTTGGGAGGCTGAGGCCGGAGAATTGCTTGAACGCAGGAGGCAGAGGTTGCAGTGAGCAGGGATCGCGCCATTGCACTCCAACCGGGGCAACAAGAGTGAAACTCTGTCTCCAAAACAAAAATAAATAAAGGAGCACAGAGAGGCAGAGGAAGCTACAAAAATAGAAGGAAAGTGAACAAATGGGAGACCACATGGTTCCAGAGAGACACAGAGATGGCATGGACTAAGTGGCTGTCATGATTCTTGATACCTTTCTAGTTTCTGGTTCCAGTTCCTCCTGAGCCCTGACTACTTCCTATCCCTGTATCTTTATAATAAGTTATCTCCTAGGAATGTCTCTCCTGCTTGCAGTGAAAAAAGCCAGCTGGGCACTATGGGTCAAGACCAGCCTAGGCAACAGAGTGAGATCTTGACTCTACAAAAAATTTAAAAATTAGGCAAGCGTGGTGGTGCACACCTGTAGTCTCATCTACTGAGGAGGCTGAGGTGGGAGTATCGATTGGAGCCCAGCAGATGGAGGTGGCAGTGAGCTACGAACGCAGCACTGCACTCCAGCCTGGGCAAGAGTGAGATCCTGTCTCAAAAAAAACAAAAAATGAAAGAAAATAGCCTGAATTAAGATTATATATAAATTTTTTGAGACAGAGTCTCACTCTATTGCCTAGGCTGGAGTAAGGTGGCACAATCTTGGCTCACTGCAATCTCTGCCTCCTGGACTCAAGCAATCCTCCTGCCTCAGCCACCTGAGTAGCTGGGATTACAGGTGCCCGCCACCACGCCCAGCTAATTTTTGTATTTTTAGTAGAGATGAGGTTTCACCATGTTGGCCAGGCTGGTCTCGAACTCCTGACCTCAAGTGATCCACCTGCCTTGGCCTCCCAAAGTGCTGGGATTACAGGCATGAGTCAACACACCCAGCCAAGATGCTACATATTTTCAAAGTGCTTTGCATATAATATGAGGCAATAAAGTATACAGGGAAAAAGTGCCAAATCTGTGCTCTAGACCTGCTCAGCCACTTTCATGTTCTTAAGCCTTTGACACCTCTCTGGGCCTCATTTTTTTTTTGTTTTTTCTTCTTTCCTTTTCTTTCTTTTTTTTGAAATGGATCTCATTCTGTTGCCCACGCTGGCATGCAGTGGCACAATCATAGCTCACTACAGCTTCGAACTCCTGGGCTAAAGGGATCATCATCACATCTCAGCCTCCTGAGTAGCTGGGACTACAGGTGGGTGCCACCACGTTGGTTGGGACTTAGTTTCATTATCTGTAAAATGCAGGGTGGTCCTAGATGGTATCTAAAGGCAGTTACACTTCTAATTTTCTTTAATTAAATTTCATGTGATTCTCACTCTAACCACATGAAGTCAGCAGAACAAATATTATCTCTCTTTCACAGATCTGCTAATCGAGTCCTCAGAGATAAGTCTGAACCCAAGGGAAATGAGACCTAAAAGCATCCCATGGGCTAAGGATGGAGTGGTGGAGCAGTGTAGAAGAATGTGGGGCTTTAAACATTCATTCTTTCTGAAAAATAAAGGGAAACTCAAATGAGAGATCCTACCTTGCAAAAAAATGTTTTATCTTTCTCTAAACCTACTATACACACAATGACTTCAGCACTATTTTTATCAGACAAAATCATACCAGTGTGAGCCAAGAAGTCCTAAAAGGAATAATAAATCATACATAGGCAGTTGCAGCCAGAATTATCCTAATCTAGGGATAATTCTGTCCAATAAAGTTAAAGGATTGCCTTGAAGTTCCAGAGCATGTTAGCAGTAGAGCTAGACAGAAACCCAGCCTTCTATCCCCAGGACTGGGCACCCTACAATGTTAAAAGGCTGCAGGGGTAAGGCCACAGTTGAGGACATCTCAATTTTCCCTTGGTAGCTATTCATGACCGATGCAAAGCCCTAGAGTCACTGTAAGCTTTGCCACACAACTCTGCCATGTAATACATTTTTTACAAAGGCAAGCAACCTCTTTGAAGTTCTTTCTTCTTCCCTCCCTCCCTGCTTTTTCTCTTTCTTTTCTTTTTCTTTCTTCTTTCATTCTTTCCTTTCTTTTTCTTTCTTTCTTCTTTTCTTTCCTTCTCTCTTTCTTTCTTCTTTTCTTTCTTTCCTTCTTTCTTTTTTTCTTTCTTTCCTTCTTTCTCTTTCTTTCTTTCTTTCACACGCTCTCTCTCTTTCTTTCTTTCTTCTTCCTCTTTCTTTTTTTGTTTTTTGAGACAGAGTCTCGCTCTATTGCCCAGGTTGGAGTGCAGTGGTGCGATCTCAGCCCACTGCAACCTCTGCCTCCCAGATCCAAGCGATTCTCCTGCCTCAGTCTCCCAAGTAGCTGGGATTACAGGCGCCCACCACCATGCCCACCTAATTTTTTGTATTTTTTAGTAGAGATGGGGTTTCGCCATGTTGGTCAGGCTAGTCTTGAACTCTTGACCTCAGGTGATCCACCCGCCTCGGCCTCCAAATGTGATTACAGACATGACCCACCATGCCCGGCCTCTTTCTTTCTCTCTTTTTCTTTTTCTTTTCTTTTCTTCTCTTTTCTTTTCATTTCTTTCCTTTCTTTCCTTTTCTTTCTTTCAACAGTGTCTTGCTCTGTCGCCCAGGCTGGAGTGCAGTGGCGCCATCGCAGCTCACTGCAGCCTCAACCTCCCAGGCGCAAGCTGTCCTCCCACCTCAGTCTCCCGAGTAGCTGGGCTAATTTTTGTATTTTTTGTAGAGATGGGGTCTTACTATGTTGCCTAGGCTGGTCTCAAACTTCTGGCCTCAAGTGATCCTCCCACCTCAACCTCCCAGATTGCTGACATTACAGGCATGAGCCACTATGCTGGGCCAGACTCTTTACTTTCCACACTTCTCCCCAATTTGATCATTCAAACCTGTGTGCTGAATGATGCCTTCGGAAGGTTGAATATTTTATCTGCTAAATGCTTCTCTTAGCTAGGAGTTGGAGTCTAGTGAGCATGGGTCAAGCTGGCAGCATTCAATGTCACCCTCCTTCGCTGATAACTCAGCTGCCTTGTGCTGAGAGAGGCACTCCACCTTGGGCCCTGAACATGCCTGCATTCTCTTGCTGAGTAGGCCAATCCACAAGACTTTCAGGCTCCTGATACCGAGCAATGTCTATAGCTACTCACACAGATATAACTAGGCCAAGGCAACTACTGTAATTACCTGTAACTGCTTGCTCCCTAGAGGGAGTGGGGATTGGCTTGTTTGCTACTTGCTCAATAAGTGCTTAGCCCTTGGCCCAGGGTTCCTCTGCTGTAATGCAAACCACTGCAGATACATGTGTCGTCTGGGCTTACTGTGTTGCCCCATTAGAACCTGAGGGCAAGGGAAACCAATGCAAATAGGCTGACACATGCTATCTGCTGTGCCATGAGTAATGAATTCCTTTGTCTCTGACCAGGGAGT